ATTTATCCAATCAACATTTTTTTACCCATCTCCTACACTGGGTCTGAGGACACAGCTATCGTGAAACATTTAACGTCCTCTAGTATCCTACAGAAAAACAACTAAAGCATGCTTGTACAACTCAGAACTACAAGCTCTTCCTCATGAATTGGACAATAGGTGCCTTCAAAGAATGGTTCTTTTTCCTGTATTTTCCTTCCCTTCTCTCAATGGAGAATTTTTTCTTCCACCCTAAAAAGGAAACACGACCATCAGTTTCCCAAATATGAAGAGGGAAATGCATGTGTGTATAAACAGCAGTTGCCACCTAGTAGAATTTTAAGGCTTTAAGGATTTTACCCCCTAACGATTGCAATTTCCTAAGTTAACTTTCAGAACTTCAGTTACTATTGTCTTATGTCTTGTTTCCAATGTACTAGTTAGGTATTTCTTTACAGGCTTTTTAAGATTTACAGGTGTACCTGATCAAAAATAGCTGGAAAGATTCGAGATGTTTTTTACTGGATAATTTATTCCGTGTGTACCCAACAGCCAAGCACTTGGCAAATGACCAAAAATATGATTTATTTATTTTTATTTATTTTTTTGAGACGGAGTGTCACTCTGTCGCCCAGGCTGGAGTGCAGTGGCATGATCTCGGCTCACTGTGACCTCCGCCTCCTGGGTTCAAGCGATTCTTCTGCCTCAGCCACCCCAGGGATTATAGGCGTGTGCCACCACACCCAGCTAATTTTTTATATTTTGGGTAGAGACAGGGTTTCACCGTGTTGGCCAGGCTAGTCTCAAACTCCTGACCTCAAGTGATTCGCCCGCCTCGGCCTCCCAAAGTACTGGGATTAGAGGCATAAGGCACTATGCCCAGCCAAAAGATACGATTTAAAAAGCCAGAAGAGCTCATGCAAGAAATAAGTAGCTGACAGATAAAATGGCAACTTTTTGCTTTAATGGCAATGTAAACTATCCAGAAGGGACATTTATCGGTTCAATGAGAATTGATTTTCTTCACTCTCAACTCCTATTAACAGGTCTTCTCTTTCTAAAAGATAGGAATGTGTGCTCCAGTAATTAATTTGTTTATGTGTGACTAGTACATTGTGAGACTCTCTATAGGACATCTTTCTCTGGCACTTATTTTGTCTTGATCCTGGATGGAAGACAATGATAACCAAGTGACCTGTTTGTTGACTAGGGCACACTTAAAAGCAGGTATGGATATTTGATTTCATGTACATTAGCAGGACATCAATGAAAGTGTGTGAGTACTGAGACAGGTAGGCAAGTGGCGGGGTGAACTTCACTCCTTAAAATCGTGAGCTCAAGAGACGTGAACTACCGAACCTGTCTGACTTTTTTTTTTTTTGAGACGGAGTCTCACTCTGTTGCCCAGGCTGGAGTGCAGTGGCGCCATCTCGGCTCACTGCAAGCTCCGCCTCCCAGGTTCACGCCATTCTCCTGCCTTAGCCTCCCGAGTAACTGGGACTACAGGCGCCCGCCACCACGCCCGGCTAACTTTTTTTTTCGTATTTTTAGTAGAGACAGGGTTTCACCATATTAGCCAGGATGGTCTCGATCTCCTGACCTCGTGATGCGCCTGCCTCGGCCTCCCAAAGTGCTGGGTTTACAGGTGTGAGCCACCGCGCCCGGCCAGCTGTCTGATTTTGTTTGACGTGCTCTTTTAAATGATATAAGGCAAAATATATTTAACTGGTTAATTAGTGAAAAATCTAGCAACAAAGGATGTCTGGTTAATTCATGGAAAATGGGAAGTTTGAATAAATTTAAAGATAATGTTTGAATTAGGCAAATAAAATTAATTCTTGTGTTTACATAAACACAGAGATTGGAGAATTGTTGTGTATTCAGTGTTCTTTCAAATAACCAGTCATTCATTTATTTAGTACATGTGTATTGTGCACCTCTTGTATGGCTGGGAACACACCAGGTTCCAAAAATAAAACTGGGACTATGATAAAATTTTTACTCTGAAGGGTAACAGTGAAGTAAATAACAGCCACAATACGGGATTTGAGAGGTACAAAACCACTAAAAGAGAGGAAAAGGGGCACAATTTTGTTTGAGAACTAACGGATTCCAGAAAAGGTGAAGAATTAGGTGGTCTTTGACACAGATCTTAAAAGAGTAAGTAGGCACTTGCCACACATAGATGAAAGAAAGTGTAGCAGACAAAGAATAGACCAGTCATGGTTATTAACTATCAACTAGTCCATCTTTACCACTTACTTGCTATTCATTCCTGGACACGATTGATCTCAGGGAGGTAGTGAGTAGAATGGTAGTTACCAGAGGCTGGAAATGGTAGGAGGGATGTCAGGGAAAAAGAAATGCTGGACAATGGGTATAAACATACGGTTAGAGAGAAGAAATAAGTTCTAGTGTTCAATGGCACACTCGAGTAACTACAGTTATCCTGTATTTCAAAATACCTAGACAAAATTTGCAAAGTTCTTGACACAAAAAGTGATCAAAGTTTGAGATGATGAAAATCCCAACTACCCTGATTTGATCTTTACATATTCATGAATCAAAATATCACATTTACCCTATATATATTTACAACTATTACATATCAATAAAAATCATGAAGATATTGGTAACTAATAGCTAACATTTATTCAACATGTACCATGTGTCTAACCTTCTCACCATCGTTTCCTCTGATACTCATAGTAACCCTCTGACATAGATACATCACTGTCAGTTTTACAAATAAATAAGAATAAAAAGAATTGATTTCAATGTGTTTTGGGTGAGCAGCGCTGAGAGAGCCCTGATTCACCTGAATAAGAATGCAATGCGCTGTCCAGTTCTGGTTCAATTTTACATCTCAGAGCTTTTGTACTGTGAGTGCAATAAAATCAGGTGTGTGCACAGAAATTCAGGGCAGAGTTAAGCTCCTCCTAAGGAGTGAGTCAAGTATTTGTGATTTGACTGAATCACCTTAATTTAGATATCTTTACAAAGATATTAACCTATCAATCCAAGATGAAATTTTAACTAACGTCAGGGAGATGAGATGGCCCTTTCCCTCTGGTATCAGGAGAACCCCTCTCCAAGAGGCAGAGGCAAGAGACTCTGTTTCTCCTGGGTTTCAGTTGCTGAAGGAAAGGACTTGCCTCTGGTCTGTGGGCAAACTTTCTTGGGAGCTGTCTTTGCATTTGAACTCTGAATTTTGTTCAATACATCATTGTTCTAAGGATATATTTAGTACTTTGTGACTGTACATTTCAACATTCAGCTATTGAGTGAGACAATATTACAAGATATGATGCTCTAGATATCAGCCATTCTTCAAACGGGGTGTTTATTATGGAACAAAAGAAAATACGTGCTTCAATCTAGAATTTAAAAGCACTAACTACAACGTTTCAAGCATATATAAATAAATGTTATCTGTCTTACCATTTTTGGGAGAAAAGTGAATCTTTACATTTGTTTTAGTGTAACTTGTTCCTGATATTCTAACCTAAAATTTCATGGTCACAAAAAAGTACAAATTAAATGTTCTCTTTATGAGAAATAAAACAGGGACTGTAGCACAGGTGATGTGAAAAAAATAGTCACTAAAAAAAAGGAACCAAGAGTGAACCCTGAAGTAATCTATGGACTTGGGGTGATAATGATGTGTCAATGTAAGTTCATGGGTTATAAGAAAGGCACCACTCTGGTGGGGGATATGGATAGTGGGGAATGCTATGGTGGGAGAGCAGGGGGTAAATGAGAAATCTCTAGACCTTCAGATCAATTTGTTGTGAACTAAAAACAATTCTAAAAAATAAAGTCATATATATGTGTGTGTGTGTACACATATTCACCTATACGTATATGCATATTATTTATGTATAGATACATGTATATGCATATATACATATAAACACACACACACACACACACATATATATACACACACACACACACACACATTTATACACACACACATACACACACCCCTAATAACTTTTAAGGACAAAAACTTTCTTCCCTTCAGAATATCTGCCAAAGTGACTTAAAGTACACCATTACTCATTTGAGGTAGTAAGGGGTGGCATAAATATCAACTGTTTCATCACTAAGTACATTTTGTCCTAATTCTCATCCTTCCACTATAGAATAAATGGTTACATAGCCCAGTATGTATAATAGAACTCTCATATGGACCTCTGCAGATCTCAAATAAAGATTTTCTTAGAAACCTGAAGTAGTACTTAGACTTATACACCAACACACGCTTTGGGTAAAAGGAAAATCCTTTATGAAAATGCAAGCTTTAGGAATTAAATGCTCCCCATAGGGACTCACTTATTCCTGTATAAGTGATTGCAGGCAGAAAACCAGAATCTGAATGAACTTTTTTTTTCCTTAAACTTGGAAAACCTAGAAAAGACAAGAGTGGTATATAGGGGCCAATTAAAATAAAAAGCACAAGGGAAAATGAGAGGAAGTCGCTCCTCTCCTCCCAATGGGAGTATTGTGTTCTGAAGGATTCATGAATGGAATTTCAGAAACTCAGCAAAAGAATACATTTAACTGACTTACTCCAAATATATTCTGAATTTCATATTTACTAAATAAAGTGTTTCAAATGAACATTTTGTATGTTGTTACATGTAAAAACCGCACATTACAAAACGAAAGGTAGGAGAATTCATCACTTAAGTTTTTAGATGCATATATACTTAAACTTCCGCATACTCCACAAATACTAAACTTGAAAAACAAAGCACCCTACATAATTTACCTTGCCACAGATGTGAAATAATTGTAAGCATACATAAATGTTAACAAAATACTTTCATTCAATGCTAAGGGGAGGTATCATTGAATGGTGGACCAAAACAAACTACATGGCAATTTGATGTCTTTGGAAATGACATACCCACAAACCAGTGGTTCAGCACTGATATTAATATATCTTGCTCAGTTGTCTCAATCATTTATAGTAGTTTAATTTTTTCAAGAACACAGACGTTAAGGTACTTTTAATAATTTTGAAAGGCCATAGAGTATATCTATTTTTTGAAGTCAAGCTTTCATTGGAATTGCTTCTTTAACCTAATGATTAAATATAAAGAATGCACAGATAAAATAAGGTTTTGTCTTCTTTTATTAGAGAAAAATGTGCTTTTCCATGCCCATGCTTTCCACATTTTTGGAACTGATACAGAACCACAGAGGCCAAACCTAAAACTAAATTATCTTTAACGTTAAAATTTAATTGACTGTGTATATAACTGTGCAATTGCTACTTTCTCACAGAACTGTCTAGGGTTCTTTCAACAGATCATAGAAATGTGGTCCAGCATTTAACAAACAGGCTAATGATAGAGGAGATATACTAATTTATACAAGAATTAAGTAAACACTGTCATGTGGTTTAGTGTAGCTCAAGTTATGCTTGTATCATATAACATAGGTTCAAGTTCTTTTGTCAGTCATCAGAATAACAGAGGTTGAAGATACATATGAATAAGTGGCAATTATTGCTGCAGCTGTTTCAAAAAAATAAATTTAAGTAATTGTGATACACATTTCTACAAATAAAATATTCCAGTGCTTACATCAATCCTGAGTTTTTAAGATTAAATATGCACTACTTACAATTACCACAATATTATTTTGGAACAGGGCGATTTATTTATTATTTTTTATTTTTATTTATTTATTTATTTTTTGAGATGGAGTCTCGCTCTGTGCCCGGGCTGGAGTGCAGTGGCCGGATCTCAGCTCACTGTAAGCTCCGCCTCGCGAGTTCACGCCATTCTCCTGCCTCAGCCTCCCGAGTAGCTGGGACTACAGGCGCCCGCCACCTCGCCCGGCTAGTTTTCTGTATTTTTTAGTAGAGACGGGGTTTCACCGTGTTAGCCAGGATGGTCTCGATCTCCTGACCTCGTGATCCACCCGTCTCGGCCTTCCAAAGTGCTGGGATTACAGGCTTGAGCCACCGCGCCCGGCCTATTTTTTATTTTTATTTTTTGAGACAGAGTCTCTCTCTGTCGCCCAGCGTGGAGTGCAGTGGCGCGATCTCGGCTCACTGCAAGCTCCGCCTCCCAGGTTCACGCCATTCTCCTGCCTCAGCCTCCCGAGTAGCTGGGACTACAGGCACCCACCACCATGCCCGGCTTTTTTTTTTTTTTTTTTTTTTTGTATTTTTAGTAGAGACGGGGTTTCACCATGTTAGCCAGGATGGTCTCCATCGCCTGACCTCGTGATCCACCCGCGTTGGCCTCCCAAAGTGCTGGGAATACAGGCGTGAGCCACTGCACCCAGCCAGGGTGATTTATTTTTTAAGTTGACTCTCTTCACCAAAAAGAGGGCTTTCATCATATTCTTCCAAGTCCTTGATACTCTTAAAACAAAAAGTCTAGTTCACTGACAAACCATCACTTTACATCTCACATTTTAAACAGAGTAAATTAAATGTCAAAAGGAAACAGCTTTTAGTATTCAAAGGATGCTGGTTACTTATTATTATTTTTTGAGACAGAGTCTCGCTCTGTTGCCCAAGCTGGATGGAATGCAGTGGCACGATCTCGGCTCACTGCAAGCTCCGCCTCCCGGGTTCACGCCATTCTTCTGCCTCAGCCTCCCGAGTAACTGGGACTACAGGCGCCCGCCACCATGCCTGGCTAATTTTTTGTGTTTTTAGTAGAGATGGGGTTTCACCGTGTTAGCCAGGATGGTCTCGATCTCCTGACCTCGTGATCTGCCCGCCTCGGCCTCCTAAAGTGCTGGAATTACAGGTGTGAGCCTCTGTGCCCCGCCCCCTTATTTCAAATTTAAAAACTGTAATCAATACATGGAGCTCCAAATACTTAAATATTTTAATACCAGATTTCAGTGAAATATTATTATAGCACGTCCAACAGTCATGTACTTTGCTTGAAGAAAATGGTTTGATAAACATGTTATGGTCAAGATGGAGCAAAAACAGAAAAAGACTGGTAGTCTTACATCATGAAATACCGTATTTTTTCACGAGGTAGTGACCCATTTGTTATCACTAATAGTCCATATAACATGGTTTCCACTGAAGGGATACAATGGTCTGTGATATGACCTCATCAAGTTAGAGAAAACATAACTATGTTTGAAATATATACTATTCCCTCAGCAAACAGTTCAACAGTTCCTACTCCCTAAAATGTGGTATGTTAATGCTGAGGAAGATGTAAAAAATGAACACACAATCTCTTTCATATTCCTGTGACATGAGGAAATGCACGAATAAAAAAAACTTGATAACAAAACTTATTTAACTGCTATGGAAGGGCAACTCACTCGGACATGTAGCCAAAAATGGAGACTGATGTTAACTTAGTTGGCAAAAGATTTCAATCGGTCAAAAACAAGAAAAAAAGAGATTTAAAAAGCATTGTGAGGGAAGAGCATGAACAAAGCATGAGATTAATGGAGAGGACGTTCAGAGAAGGCTGTCAACCCGGAGAAGCAAGAAGAAAGACAGAAGGCGGCAAAACAAGCCTAAGAGGGGGTCATGTAAAGGGGAGAGTCTCTGAATATCTAAGAACTGACGTGTGGGTGCCACTGACAGGCTGGGAAGAGGGAAGGGCTAGAAGCATTTTTGGAAGGGAAGGGTTTTAGGAAGATAGTATTTCTGATCAATGAAAGGTGGCTCAGAAGAGAAGAGAGAACTCAGAAAAGAGTTTAATAGCATAAGCAAGGAAGAATGAGGTCTTGAACTAGGGTAGCCTCAGTGGCAATTTAAAAAAAGAAATTTAAGGACCATTGCAGAGGTAAAACTTGCCTCATGATAACTGCATGGGAAAGATAATGGACTCAGAAGAGTCCAAGATGATACCGAAGTTCCTACCCTAAGTGGTAACATGTAGCATTAACATTGACAGGAAAACTTTTCTAGTCTCACGTTCATACCAATTAATAAATGGTTTCTGGGGAACATTATAGTAACATGTTCTCCACTTGTGACTTCTATATAAATAACTGTGTTGTGTATAGATAATCCTCAAGTTGCTCAAAAATTTTATTTTCAAACTCTTTCCCAGTTTATTTAACACATCTCAGTTAGTATAGAGGAGTGACATATGAACATGTCTTTTCACAAGATTGTTAAAAAGAATACCTTACCTCACAGAAAGGAATTCCATTGTTTCCTAAATAATATACATCTACATGAAGAAGAGGTCATTGTCCGATGACAATTTGCTAATGTGCTGTACAACAGCAGATAATTCACAATTCACAACGTGTTAATAATCTGCTGGCTTTCCCATTCTGTTGTACATCTGAACCATCCCTTATTATTACAAATTGTCATGTAAAACCATTACTAGTCACTAATAATTTTGAAAGTGAATATGCCATAAAACACTCCTACATTACAGCAGAAAATAAAAGAGATACTCAGTAGTTACATTTGCCTACTTCCTATTTAACTAAAACTCTTGAAACAACACAAGTGAAAAAGACATCTAGAAAGGACTTATGGACTTTCTGCCTTCCAAAGATTTGTCGCTGATCTCCTAAAAACTGAAAATAAAGTCTTCATTAATGTGTTCATAAAGTATCAATTTTTATACACAAGAGGTATATTTCTAGATAAAATTTCCAATTTACCTTTTCCTGTTCTAAATAACTCCCACAAAACTATTCATGAATCCTAAAAATACTGTTTTATGTTACTGCATTTACCAATTATGTTAAATCTGGAACAATACATTCAAAGTGAAAATGGTAATTCAAAATTTATAACCAAAATATCTTTCCATACATTCAGAAACAAGCAGACTGTCTTCTATTTTTATGCATGTGTTGTATTTTATAAGAATATATTGTGTTACCAAATAGAACAGACCTTTGTGAATTGCTTGTGTGATGGCTCAATCTCTTTCAGTTCCTTTCTTATCTTGTTGCCACCTCTTTTGTTGCTCTTGAAATATCTTCTAGAAGCACAAAACAAAAAAGTGATTAAAATTGGGTAAATTTTAATACTTACAAAACATAATTCTGCATTAAAGAAATACTCTTTAAATCAATACCTGTGAACACTTTATTTTAGACAACGTTTATGACCAAATTTGAAACAATTGTGTTCACCACTCATGTGCTAAAACGATAACCTTTTTAATCAGTAATGGAGTAAAGAATTTTCTTTCTTGTACATATTCAACATGCATGTCCCAATTCTTGATTTCAAATGAAGAGTATTTGATGACCTTCCCTATAATTTGTTGACCACAGATAGGTAAGATCTATACAGAAATTAACTAAGAAACATTCTTTCTTATTAAGATTTTAAACACGTATTAAATCTTGGTCATTTCAATATGTACATAGATGAACCTTCCATTAATGACTGTTTTTCTGCACCTTGACCTAATCTCCAACAACAGTGTTCTCGTCTCCACTATGTGGCACACACAGTCATCCCCTAAATTTTGTCGTTCCCAATGACCATAATACCTACATAATACTAATAATAGCATTGATAAACAGCAACCATGAGCCAGATTGCATCCTGAAAAATTTAAATAAACCCGTTACATAGGAACCCTTTAATCCTCCAAACAACTCTGAAGTAGGTACTCTTACCATGTCTCCTTTCGTATATAAAGAAACTTTAGCACAGAGATAAATAATTTGCCCATGGTTCCTGAGCTAGCAATGGTCAAACTGGAATTGGATCAAAAGCAGTGGGGCTCCAGAGTCCCAGCCCTTGACCACTGCAATCAGCTGCTTCTCCATCTTCCCAACATATAGCCACTACCTTCCTGCCACTGTAGGTCACTCACTTCAGTACTACAGCTCAGGAGTCTGTCAGGACTTGATGCCTATTGAATGGAGCACTTTTCACTGCCCAATGTCCCACCCCCATGTGCTCAGGTAACTCAGTCCCAGCTGAAATTCCACAGCTAGTCATCATAACCCCATCCCTGTGTCTATGCCCTGCCCAACTCTCCCTCTATCAACATGCTCGGCTATACCCCAACCCAGGAAATTCCAACCCTACAGCTGTTCTTGTACAAATATGCCAACTGGGCTCACTTTAACTTCTTAATCGCTATGATGCTGACCTCAGTTGGACCCCTAATGCTGCATGGCAATTATATTCCCCTGGTACATGAGTCCACTAACGGGCCCCCTCTTTGGGCTCATGCTCTCTTCCTTCTTCGCTGGATTTCTGCATGAACTATTACTCCCTGAGACATTGATACAATAGGTAAATCATAAAGCTAAGCCTGATACCAACAATTTGTTCTTCCTTTTCTCCTTCTCCTTCCTCATCTTTCTGTTCATCTGTGGTGAACTCTTCAAGGACATTCGGCAACTTCAGAGAAATTCTGTAATCACGTTTCTGCCTATAACACATAATAAGTAACAAGGTCATACATCATAGAGAGATGAAAAATTAATCCTATTCAAACCAAAACTGACTTGACATAGTTTATACTATAAAGTAGCAAGGGAGTAATAGCAGCTGAAATCTTTTTGGGAAAAGGTGAAATGAGTTACTCTCATTCTGAAAGGATCCTTTCCTAACTGACTACTAGAGCAGCTATCTTATATTCTTTACGTGTTGAAGACTAAGGAGGGTTTACTGCACTATAAATTTCCCAGAAACAATCATTTTCTCCAAGAGCAGTTTACTTTTCATTTCTTCTTACTAAATAACATATGGGTTCTCATAAGTAGGTTCGAGAATATTGTAGCCATTCATCCCGTAAGATTTCCCAAAAGAAATACTTCACTTAACTATTTCTCCACTTTGGCACAACAATGATTTCATAAAAGGAATAGTGAAAACAGTTTAATGACTTATTTACAACATAAGGTTATCCCTTTCTACATAATTGAATATTGTTAAGAATCTACAGACTAAACATTGAAGACATTTATCTTATATTCAGCTACCATATTTCTAGAAATGGCTAAACATTAATTTTACAGGAAGACTTTTTTTTTTTTTTTTTTTTTTGGGACAGAGTCTCGCTCTGCCTGGCCAGGCTGGGTGCAGTGGGCCGCGCATCTCAGCTCACTGCAAGCTCCGCCTCCCGGGTTCACGCCCTTTCTCCTGCCTCAGCCTCCTGAGTAGCTGGGACTACAGGCGCCCGCCACCTCGCCCGGCTAGTTTTTTGTATTTTTTAGTAGAGACGGGGTTTCACCGTGTTAGGCCAGGATGGTCTCGATCTCCTGACCTCGTGATCCACCCGTCTCGGCCTCCCAAGTGCTGGGATTACAGGCCTTGAGCCACCGCGCCCGGCCCCAGGAAAGACTATTTTTATCTGGAAGGCAACAAAAGGACAGGGTCATCTTCATTGGCTTCTAGGTAATATCTCTCAATTCTGTTAAACTGAGGTTATAAAACTAAAGAAACTTACCTGCTTAGGGAACAATCAAGTAAAATATGTTCTTCACTAGAGATGCCAATATGTAGATGCCAATGATATAAATATCATGATGCAAAAAAGCCAACAATCATACCTTTTTAGTTGCATTGTTCTCAAAACGTTTTTAACTCTATTCTTTATTTCACTGCAAGCTTTTGCAATCTTTTCACTCCTTTTTCTCTTTGCAGCAAGATCCTCTTTAATGTCAGCTAGATAGTAAATGAATATGTATTAAAAGTTCATGTTGAAAAGTAGTTTCTTTGCATATATTGAAATCAATATGTGACTTGATGGTTCAGCAATATCAGAAGGACATTTAAAATGTAAAATGCAAAGATCATTTTACAAAGCAAGATTTACTCACTTTATGTAAAACCTTTCAGGTATTAATATTAGTATTCCAATTTCAATTGGTATAACAGCAAATCACTTAATTGACGGATGATGAAAAAAAGCAAATAATTAAAACAGTTTCTTTTCTTTTTTTTTTCTGGGACGGAGTATCCCTCTGTCGCCCAGGCTGGAGTGCAGTGGCGCGATCTCGGCTCACTGCAAGCTCCACCTCCCGGGTTCATGCCATTCTCCTGCTTCAGTCTTCCTAGTAGCTGGGACTACAGGCGTCCGCCACCACGCCCGGCTAATTTTTTTGTATTTTTAGTAGAGACGGTTTCACCATGTTAGCCAGGATGGTCTCCATCTCCTGACCTCGTGATCCGCCCGCCTCCGCCTCCCAAAGTGCTGGGATTACAGGCGTACTGGAGCCTTTCCTGCATTAAAATAAAAAAGACAAACTTTTTTAGAGGAAGACGCTGTTGTGGGCATTTTTTTTTTTTTTTTTTTTTTTTTTAGATGGAGTCTCGCTCTGTCACCCAGGCTGGAGTGCAGTGGCACAATCTCGGCTTACTGCAACCTCCGCCTCCTGGGTTCACGCCATTCTCCTGCCTTAGCCTCCGAGTAGCTGGGACTACAGGCGCCCTCCACTATGCCTGGCTAATTTTTGTATTTTTAGTGGAGACGGAGTTTCACCGTGTTAGCCAGGATGGTCTCCATCTCCTGACCTCGTGATCCGCCCGCCTCCGCCTCCCAAAGTGCTGGGATTACAGGCGTGAGCCACCGCGCCCAGCCACAGACTTTAATTTCTACATTTATAAAATGTCCTACAAATCAAAGGACATATTTCTGTGAAATACTGTCACAACTCATTATGTAAAGCACAAAAAAGTATCTTATTTAATAAGACCATCAAAAGGGTAGAAATAATACACAATAAGCAAAGTATTTTTAATCAATCTCGTGGTTGATGCTATTAACTGTATTTTAATAAAAGAAGCAATGTCCATGGGTATAAACATTTAGGTTTAAACAGATAAAGAAATACATTCAAAAACACGTTTGAAATATTTTCTGAGAGCTTTTTATCTGACATTTTTACCCATAGTGTGGTGTTTCAGAAAACTGTAATACTGCAAGGAATGCTTTCCCAAACATGGTTTCACATCAGAGATCTACCATCAATTGCTAAGAATAGTTTTTGGCAATCATAGAAGAGCTGCACCATAATACAAATATTTTTTACATATGGTATCCATCTATAACGCTCAATGTATTAGGAAGCTCACAAAACCAGCACTTTGTCACCACCAAGCAGAGCAAAGTTTTCCAAATATACTGCTTGTATGAATTATCACTATAGAAGAGCTGAAAATTAAAGTAAGCTTTTTAAAAATAAGAGTATTGTCTCCATCGTCTCTACAGAAATTTTCTCAAACTTTTTTGAAGATATGGTCCTATAACAGTGCAACTAATATTTCACATGGCAATATAAAGTTTATGAGTTTTTGGATCCAATTACATGTTTCTCACTGGGTAGAAAGGTTGTCTTTCCTTTTCTACTACACAATTTATTACTGGAATAATAATAGAAAATCATCATTTTAGATAATTCAATTTTCCCTGGTACTTTAAAGAAAACAAAATCAGAAAGTTGTGACAATAGCTAAATCACGAACATGAAAAGCTCATGTTAAAAACTTTGAGTACATACAGACAGGAAGAGGGGAACAACACACACCTGGGCCTACTTGAGGGTGGAGGGTAGGAGGAGGGTAAGGATTGAAAACCACCCATCAGGTACTATGCTTATAATCTGGGTGACAAAATAATCTGTATACCAAATCCCTGTGACACGCAATTTATCTATGTAACAAACCTGCATATGTACCACCAAACCTAAAGTAAAAGCTAAAAAAAACCTGATATATGACTTAATGTGTGTACACTGAAAGGAATGAATAGAGCTGTTTCTCCTCCAATGTCCTCTAATATCCCCCAAACAATTAAATTTCCACGTGTATGAAAGAAAAGCCATCCCTCTTGCCATTATTAGAAGCATCCTCACATTCTGCATGAACAATTAAAAAGGTAAGTAAGAAAAATTATCAGATTACATTAAATGCTATATATGAGAAGAAGGCATTTAAGACCGTCTTGTCATCCACTAATTCATATAACCTACTGTAACAGTTGTATGGTTAAAAACAATTTTCATAAACCACAAATAGCTCGTAAAATATACCTGCAATATCTTCTAGCTCCTTGGTATCAACCCTGTAAAAAAAAGTTGCAACAAAATTTTAACATAATGCTACACAAAATGCCATGTTTGTTGGGAAGAAATGTTTTATGTGAAATGTTCTGCATAGAACAGAACAGTGATGACATGATCCAAAGCTGACTTTTCCTAAAGACCTTATCCGACAGGCAAAAGTGACTTAAACACTTTACCCCACGTGTTCATCTGTTTCAGCAAAAGGTTCTCTTTCCTGAAGCTCATCAGTTACATCTCCCTTCTTTGTCTCTGTAACAGGTTTTCTTTCCTCATGCTCATAACGTACTGGAGCCTTTCCTGCATTAAAATAAAAAAGACAAACTTTTTTAGAGGAAGACGCTGTTGTGGGCATTTTTTTTTTTTTGTAGAGAAACGTACTATTTGTAGACTTTGTAGATTTGGAAGCCCTTCGGGTTCAAGTCCCAGTAAACAACGTTCACAGGTCAGACCCCTTGGATGTCAGGACAGCACCCATGGAGAAGAGCTGCTTTGAGAGCATTTGTAACCCTGCTATGAGGGGGAGCCTCCCACGGGAAGCCTAAGGCCCTTGAGCCTGCGTTGAAAACCTGGGGCATCTTAGCACACGCACGGTGGACTCCAAAGCCACGAAGGGGTCGGGGGCCTCGGGCTGCCCGTGTGCCCCCAGCGCAGAAAGCAGGCAGACCGTCAGGCGTGCACCTTCTTCCAGATCCCCTTGGACTGTGTTTACCCGCAAGCTCCATTTCCTGGGCGACCGTAACTTGAGCCTCCAACTGGTCCTTGGCAGCCATCCTGCTGCGCTTCCTGCCCACGGGCTGCATGGCTGGCTGTCCTGGGAAGCTAGAGGCAGCCTCTGAACCTGGTGAGTACAAAGACACACTAAGGAAACTAAGGAAACGAGGCGTGTTAAATGAAAGCCATCAGGATCGCGGGTTCAAGGGCGCCCCGAGTCCCCTGTGGGAGCAGGAGGGGACGCGGAGAAGATGCCATCATCCTTTCCTGTCCTGGCCCGTCCAGCGCTTCCCTGGGGCTGGCTGCAGAGCTCGCAGAATTCCGCGGCCTCTGCGGGATTCCTGCAGTGCCCTTGGGACAGAGCTTGGCCGTGCCCCTGGGTTCCCCAGCGACCCCATGTAGTCAGGAGGGCCGCGGGGTGACACAGGATCTCCCCAACCATCTCCATGGATTGAGCCGGTGTGCAACTGTTTCTGACAGGGGCAGGGACTGCCCACTAGCTAGCCTGAACACCCAGGGAACCCCTGGTCACCCCAAGTATCCCGTCCTGATGGGCGGCCAGACAAGACGGACCCATGTCGACCCCCCCAACCTCCCTCTCACAAACGCTGCACACATGTACAGGCCTCCGGGACCCTCCTGGGCCCTGGGGACCACTCAGGCAGCTCCAGCTCCCTGCCCTGCCCATTTCCTCGCAGGTCAGCCTGGCTGCCCCGCCCTTCACACCCTCTTCCCCAAAGAGCCTCATGCCCGCCTTCCCCGCATATCCACCGAAGGCACCTCGCCTGAGGGATCCCTGAGCTTGCTCCCTCAGACGACCTGAAGAGGCTGGCACCACGAAAGCTCACTGCCTGGTTCCTGGGTTCTCGCGAGAGCAGCCGGCCTGGCTGCCCGCGCTCCTCGCTGATTGGTCGGCTCAGTGCGCATGCAGGTGGCGTGCGGCATGGGGCCGCGCCCCCGGCCGGCACACCCTCCCGCTCAGGGACTATCCATGGCTGCTGTGGACTGATTGGGTGGCTCTCTGAGGCCTCTGTCCCCACGATTTTCCAGCTCCTCATCCTGGTGAAGGAAGCAAGGACCCGGGAGTGGGGAGTGCCAGAGGACCCTGCCCTAAGGAATGGAGGCCAAGTGAACGGGGCTTAGGACCTTCCCCCAGGCTCGTTCCAGCCACTCCTGCCCCTTCGGGTGGAATGGCCATCACCCCTGCGGGTGGGGCCCAGGCTCCCTCCCATGCCCTGTGTGCTTCCAACACGCCCAGCTGCATCCTTTTTATCAATGCATTGTGCTTCTATGTTTTATCTAAGAAAATTGTTGACTCCCAGCAGCGGCAGGTAATTTTCTCCTATCCTACTTCATTCTCTCACACTGGGTATTGCATGATTCTGTAGTGGATATACAAAGTTAAAGACTTTATGTCTAGATTTCTCATGATGTGATCATTTCTTTTCTTTCTTTCTTTCTTTCTTTTTTTTTTTTTGAGATGGGGTCTTGCTCTGTCACCCAGGCTGGGCTGCAATGGTGCAATCACTGCTCACTGTAGCCTCAAATTCCCACGCTCAAAGGATCCTCCCACCTCAGCCTCCCAAGTAGCTGGGACTACAGGCGTGTCCCACCATGCCCGGCTAATTTTTTGTATTTTAGTAGAGACAGGGTTTCACCATGTTGCCCAGGCTGGTCTCAAACTCCTGAGCTCAGGCAGTCTGCCCGCCTCGGCCTCCCAAAGTGCTAGCATTACAGGCATGAGCCACTGCTCCCAGCCAATTTTGTTTATTTTTTGCAGAGATGAGGTCTCACTATGTTGCCCAGGCTGGTCTGGAACTCCTGGGCTAAGCAATCCACCCGCCTCAGCCTCCCAAAGTGCTGGGGTTACAGGCGTGAGCCATCGTGCCCAGCCCGATTATTTCCACGGCTGGGTTGGAAGCCATCTTCCCCTGACAAGGCAGCTCACCTTTATTTCTAAGAGTTCTCTATAACCTAAAGAGAATCCCTAATTACTGAAACTAAATACTACCAGCTGTCCCCATTTCCCCACAATCTACTTGGTACCCAAATTAGCCAATGAGACATCTTGGGCAATTTTAAGCCATGATTGCCTCAGGTTTCCCTCTCTTTCGAGCTTAAGATGTGTAACATTAAGAAAGAAGACAAATCTTGCAGAGGGCTTTGTGCAACCAGTCTTACAGCTTTCTATCCCATCTGGATCAATGTAATTTTCATATGCTTCATCAAAGATTTCAGCTGAAAGTACTATACCAGGTTCTGTCTATAATTGGAAACACATACACACATACACCAACTACTGGTATTCAGCTAAGAATTCAATGCCGGCTCATTTTTCTTTAAAAGAATGTCAAATCAAGGAACAATTCTCCATCGCAAAGCAGAATTTGATGTCAGGTGAAGACAAATGGGGATTACAGAGCTACTTCTTTGGCATAACCGCCTAGAAACAACCTGAAAAGGATTCTGCAATTTTAAATAGGCACAAAGACATTCTTTTCAGAACACCAAGTGTCCAAGTTACAAAACCCTGAAAAAATTCTTCTTTTAAACTTTCAGATGGAGCAATTTATCTCTTTTTCCCAGCTGGAGTATTTGTGAGATGTCTCTCAGAAAGAAACAACTCAATACACAAATCATTAAGCCTTTGTAAAGGGAGGAAGTCTATTTGAAGCAACTCTCCGCTGAGGAAACAGGTTTTGTGAACTAACCAAAGCCTTTAGGGCAAACATGGTCACTTCAATTTTTTTTTTTTCCCCCACTGGAGGTTATCTACAAAGACCACAGGAAATGTTTAAGCAAATTTAAAGGCGATTTCTCAAGAGTTATTAGAATAAGTACAGTAATTTAGAGAATTGGTTTCTAATAACTGGAGGCATAACCCCCTCTTACCCCCCAACACCCTACTCCACCCTATGTGAATCGACTGACAAGTAAGGATAATGCTTCATAACAAATGTAGAAATAACACCAATTTTCAAAGCAGCCCTTGCTCTTTTATTGCTGTCATTGAGAACTAACTGAAAGAAATGCACCCCTTGGATTCATAGACAGACAGAGGGACAAACAGATGGCTGGATATGTGATAAGCAACAACAGTATGGCCAAATGTCAATGATGGAATCTAGGTGGTGGGAACATGAATGTTTTCCATGAAATTCTTTCAACTTTTCTGTGTATTTGAAATTTCTAATAATAAAATGTTGGAAAACAATTGTTCATTTTGAAAACATCTAGAAATCTAAGATGTGATCACTGGGTTAAAGACTATATACATCCATACTCTGTAGCCTGAATTAGTGATTTACGCTCTAATAGCCAATCAAATTGCTCATTTATCAGACAGGGCTGGTAGCACAGGAGATGGAAGTTTCTCTACTGATAATCCTCCAGATGTTTGAGGGCTTCATGTTCATTTACATTTCAGTCTTTTCTCCAATTCTTAGACTGTTAGCAAAAGTTTATACTCAAATGAAGCAGCAAATTCTAGGCTCCAGCTGTTTAATAATAAATGAAAACATTCATGTCTTTCAGAAAGGCTTATCTGATGTACTCTGCACAAATACGCTCACCTATGATCTTCTCTGTGCAGACTCTATCAGGGCCGTTCTCAATGGGCTTTTCAAGACTCTCTCCAATCAGATTATAATTCCTTCAAGGGCAGTTCTTTGTCAACTTTGCTTCTCCAGCACTCAGCACCATGACTGGCACATGGTGTGCCATCAGCAAATGCTGTGTTTGCTATATGTGAATTAATGCTGTGCATACATGTAGAGACATAGGCTCAGACCCTCTCATCAAATGGCAAAGTCTACCACCCAGTCCTGAGAATTACATCTCAGCTTAGAGCAGAGGGGCCTCACCCTGGCGTCTCCTGGAATCACTCAGGAAATTTCAAAACACACTGCTGCCTCCATCCTACCCACTGAGTTTCTGATTAACTGTGTTGGAGTTTGGCCTGGGTCTCAGGATGGTGAAATCTCCCCAGATGATAGAAAAGTGCATGCAGCACTGAGAATTCCAGGGTTTGGACTTTACAAGCCACCAGGTAATTTCATTTTCACTCACCTTCTTTTCTTTGATTCTCAGGACAAGCTACCAGGTCTCCAGGACTGAAGGTTATCATCTAAGTTGATGTTCTCAACTGGAGGTAATTCCACTCCCCCACCCCCCACCAGGAGACAGTTGGCAATGTCTGGAGGTATTTTTGGTTTTTATAGCTAGGGATGGAGGTGCTACTGGCATCTTGTGGGTAGAAGCCAGGGATGCCGCTAAACATCCTACAATGCACAGGACAGCTCCACCACAAAGAATTATCTGGCTCCCAATGCCAACAGTGTTGAGATTGACACACCGTGGTCTATGGTAACTGTTTGATTAGCTAGGGCTTTCTTAAACAAAGTAATCTCCTTTGTGCACTGTGTGCCCATGGCCTGTATAAGACAGACAATTGCACAACCATTTATCCCAGAGTACATCTGAGTCAACTGTTGATGTTACATGTTGGATTGGCTCCAGCAAATGAAGAGCTGACATTCAATGAGTGTTCCCTTTGTGCCAGGCACATTATATACATGGCCATATGTTCCTCCCAGCAATCTTGAGAAAGAGAGGGAGAGATTCTAAATTTGAAAACTAAACTCATTATACAAGGTCATACATTGAATTAAGAGTTTGAACCTTTAACAACAAGCTCAAGACAAGAAGTTGCCTCAGATCCTTAATAGGTTGCCTTAATATAAAATTAATAATGCCCTATGTTTCTCAAAACCCCTTGTTTGAGAAACTCAAGCCTAATACATTGTTCATCTTTCCTGCTCTTATTGAATGGAATTGATGTGCCATTCAAGCCTAATCATTAACAAGACATACCAGTACCCTTTCCTTGTAATCCCACCTTCCTCAACCCCACTAAGGATCCACAAAATACCTTTTAAGGTGAAGTTCTAATCACTTTCACATTATTGTAACCATGGCTTATGGCTTATCTTTGTTGTCATGGATAATTGAGACAACTGTGTGGGAATGGCAACTTATGAATGATCTAACAATAGGCCTATTAATATAGCAGTAAATGTCACAGTTATAATAGAAGGTACCATGCTTACACAGAGTATTGCCAGACCTAGCACAATTTCTGGCATAAGGTTTGTGCTTAATAAATGCTTGCTGGATGAACCAATGAAGTAATCAAATGAGTCGGAATAAGAGGTAACATATTCAAGAGATTTATAGAATGGAAGATCTAGAGTGCTTTTATTTCAGATTGATATGTTCTCTAGTGGTAACCGAAAGAGTAATAGCTGACTTTCACTTTATTATTAAAGCACAAATAGAGCACATCAATTTTTATTTTCTCATTCTTATTTTGGTATCTAATAGTGTCACCAAATATTATATTATATGGATAACTATAATTCTGATACTCACATCAACATTTCTAATCTTGTTGGTAGACATTATATTTTTCTTTAAAAGAAGGATAAACAGCTTAACATGGGAAATATTTGACATTATTAGATTTCTTAAAAAGAATTTTTGTGCTTTTATCAGCCTCTGACCAATATCTACAGGACTGACTTCTCCTTTAGGCACAGAGTTGAGGGACCACAAAATTACTTCAATTTCTCTTAAAAATAGCAAGGGAAAATATTAATAGAATTCAGTATGGATTATATTATCTTTATACTACCAGAGTCATAAAATATAATTTTTATTTCATGTATTATTTTATATATATAATTTTTTGTTTTGATGGAGAAAGGGCTTCACGAAGGAAAATGTGTCTATAGCTTATCAATGTCATGCAGTGGCCCTGGATGTCACCTCTCTATATTCCACTGCCCTACTCTTTTCAAATAGCTTTTTTATTTATTAGTTTTTTGGGTTTTTTTTCTTTTTCTTTTTTGAGGCAGAATGTCATTCTGTCGCCCAGGCTGTAGTGCAGTGGCACGATCTTAGCTCACTGCAATCTCTGCCTCCTGGGTTGAAGCAATTCTCATATCTCACTCTCCCGAGTAGCTGGGATTACAGGCATGTGCCACCACACCCGGCTAATTTTTGTATTTTTATTAGAAACAGGGTTTCACCACATTGGCCAGGCTGGTCTCGAACTCCTAACCTCAAGTGATCT